CCACATAAACAAGAAATCAGATAAGAAAACTGTAATAATCTCTAGGTTGTAACTTGTAACTACCTCTTATTTTGAAAGGCTCTTTCTCTGTAAGTCTCCAGCCATGTGCTCCATCACAAAATAGACAGAATCAGTAACTGCATTATGGTGCATTAAGTGTGGCCATCGGGACATGAGAGCACCTTCCATAAAAGCTTTTGATATCAGATAATATCCACCGCCCAATGACAGGATCACTGCCCTCCCACAGCTGATTATAATGAACATGTGTGTGCTAACTGGCTTCCTCCACAACAAGGCTGTGAGAATAGACAGAATGTAAACTTTACACTAGCTCAGAGATGAACACATGAGGCTCAATTACTTTAATCAGCTTTCAGATTCTAATCAGCCTCTGCAGGTAGCAAATAAGAAAGTGTCTTTGAGATGGCGCTACTCCAAATGAATTCTGACAGAGTGAAAATGTCGGCACTATACTGTGTGAAAGTGTAAATCCTGAGATGCCAACGAGCTAATGTGGAGATGTGCAATGAGAGGTGCAAGTGGCCGGTCAGACAGGAGGATCAGCTGGAGGTCACACGGCCACACAGTGAGAGGCAGTAAGAGACACAAAGCACACTAATCACTTTAGCATGTTCTGTTACATAACAAAATGAGGCTACAATCCTTTAATTCAATCAAAACCGACGTAAGAAACAGACACATTGAAGATGCTGCAGAGCCCTGGTCCAATCCTATCATCAAAAACATACAGTAGCCAACATTTATGTTATAATGACTGTATCTATAGCACAAGTCTAATGGCATCTGCAGTAGGGTCTGTTAGAGGACTGTGGTGATGATCCAATACACTCAGCATTCAACTACATTTATGAACATTTATCAACACTTATGGACATTGGTCAACTCCCAATGTGTTTTCTATTCTTTGCATTTGAACGGTTTGATTCTCTGATTTGTGTTGGCAACTTTTCAATGGTTTTGTTAAGTCCTCTGAGATACCTACTGTTGAGATTTAGGGCTTAAATTGAATTGAATTTATGTTAGAATGACTGTATCTATAGGACAAGTCTAATAGGCATGGAATGTTTAAACAACATAGTGGCTGAGGCGTTACAGAAGGTTGAATAATAAATAAAAACTCTACTCCACAATACAATGCAACAGATTCCAAGTTAATATAGCCTTAATATAAAAATAGTTCAAGAAAACTAAATCCAACATGACATAAACGCAAGGGAAAAAGACGGTCTTTGTGTGGCCTACATGAGTTTCAAAGAGCTGTGCTTTGCTGCTGGCCACCATCCCCAGTGTGCGCAGTGGAGCAGTGAATAACTGGCACACATGCGTCTGGAACAAAAACAAAGAGTTATGTAATGCGGAGGCCCACTCTGGAGGGGAGAGCACATATCGTCGCACACACTTTGTAAATACTAAGGCTTTCCTCTTACTTTCCACACTATTTGATAATGATGATATGTGAAACAAGTAGAGTGCTGATCACGTCATTTGTGACCGTCTAATGATCCATATTTCCTTCTATTTATGCTCAGGATTCAGGAAAATCCCTCTCCCGACAGTGCTTTTGGAGTAACCCTCTGTAACAGTTGTCGACAGTTAAACCAATATGTTCAAAGCTTTGTTATGATAAACACACAGGCACATACGTATTCAAAAAGGTTTTTACAGTTGCGACTCTGTTGTGACGTCGTACTGAAGGCATGGGGGAAGGGGGCCACAGACTGCAGCTGCATCGACCAATCAGAGCGCAGAAGCGACGTGCAGCAGTGAAGGGAAGCGCCACTGATAAAGAGAACAGCAGTCTCCTCCCCCATGCTGCCTCCGCGGTGCTCACCCCCTACAGCCAGCTCACACTCCACTCACAAGCATCTATCTATCCAGACTGCAAACAAATATTTCAATACTAGGGCAGTAATAATGGTTACTTTGATCATCAATTAGTTGTTGACCACCAAATATGGGCTTTTTAAAATCAATTTGACAAAAACAAAGCTCCAGTGAAGCCCCTGGAGAAGGTCTTCATAGAGATTCAAGATTCAAGGTTCAAGAATCAAGAATTTATTTGCCATTTGCAGTAAAACCACATGGGAAAAACTGTGCAAGACTATCCCAGTGTGCACCAGACGGAGAGCTCCAGCCAGATGAATAGTTGTGATTAATCGATTAACTGCTACAGCCCAACTAAATACAACAACAATCAAAAAATATAACAAAATATATAAATAGTCACATCAGTCTATGCTTTCCGTCTCCCATATTCACATTATTGACAACAATGTTATTTGTAAGTAAGGCTATAGCAACTTTATCCAAGGACTAGATGAATTCTCTAAAAATAACATAATCAAACCCTCATTTGTTTATCCCTCACCACTTACAAGTTACAACTTCTCACATCAGACCGTCCTGATGCTGGCAGAAAGGCGTCAGAATAAATTGGTGGGATTCTCGCTGACAGCCTGTGTGAAACTTTGATTTTGAGCGAAAGTGAGGACACATGAGAATTCCCAGCTTATCAGAGATGCACATCAAACAGCAGCCTTTGGGCGGTGTGCGCTCAGACGACAACCAATTTACCACTTAAAAGAGGATCCTTATTTTCCAAAAGAGGTGGTTTCAGGCGTTATTAAGACGGTAGATTCAAGAGAAAGGACAGAGCAGCGACAGTGACAGAAAAAGCTTGAAGATAGAGTATGGAGATGTGCGAACGCAGCGACGGAGAGAGATCCATTCTTTCTTATTATATGTATCATTACAGCCTGTTGTATTCAGGTGCCTGCACAATAACACAGAATTATAAATGATTCATCTCTCACTGTTATTGATGAGATGAGGATAACACATCAGCGGTGTGATCCATGTGAGAAATGCAAAAATAAAACCTGAACCACGTGTTTGGGGACGATTCTGGGTAATTGTCGATAGTGATAAATCTACATAATGGTGCCATGGGTGTAGAGTAATTATGAATGATATAATTGAGTTATAGAGGCAGGGTCACGTGAGTCGTCGATTTGATGTCTCTTGTGAGCTTTAATGTATGCGAGCGGCCCCCAACCTTCACCAGAGATTATTAAAAGACTTAATTACAAGTGCATAACTGTGACACGGCAGTTACGTGTCACAGGAAAGTTTCACCTGTCACAGTCAAATCACAGGTTTGAAAGAAGTCTTGGGGAGGAAAAGAACCAGCGTGATGCCTGCTGGTTCAGATGCTGCCACTAGAGATAGTCAAAAATCTAAAGCTTGAAAATATAATATGTCACAAAGCACTTTACAATTGTTGAGGGCCTTTTTTTATTTCACTCGATACAGACGATATTATTTCAATTATTATAATATTTCGATAAATTTTGTTGTTTCAAGAATTTCTTGTGTGGGTCATGTTCGTATTCGTTCTTATATACAATGATCATGTAGAATAAACAATGTCTCATATCCATTTACATTATTTGTTTTTGTTTTAAGCAGAGTGTCAATAAATGAACCATAAGAAGTCCAGTCAGATCAAAGATAATGAAGTCAGCAAAGGGTAATTAGTTGAATAAACAAAAAAAAGAATGGGAAATGCTTTTAAAAGATGGCAAATGTTTTTTTTTTATTTTTTTTTCAGAATAACCTGTGCTTTCACTTGGGACTCCAACAGCAGCAACATTCATGACTTCAATACACAGCAACGATGCAAAAAAAAATGTATTAGACCCAAAACTCCAACAAACCCTTTGGCATTGGTTCACAAACATCATAAATCTGACTATAGCAAAACAATGCATCTGCCAGTGATCGTTCTGTAGCAGTCCTTTATAAATCACCTGGCAGAGGGACTACAGTTGAAGCTTGTTTCTGGCCGTCAGGTGCTCACTGTGCTTTGCTGTGCGTCACAGAAAATAGCCAGGAGAGTCATCCCACAAAGGGCCCCTGAGCTGCGGCTGCAAACAGGAAACCGGAGTGTACTCTTGCAGCTTCGCACAGCTCCATCTGTTACGGCTGCTCTCACAAGCTCCTGTTTACCAGCCCTCAAGTCTCACCCAAAACACAGTGTTTTTAACAGCCCACCTGCTCACAAACCGAACACGAGCTACAAGCCACTCATCCCCACCTTCCCACCTTCTGCTTGCTCTGAGAGAGACTCCCTGGTGACCCCCACAGCGAGGCCTGAAGAGTCCTGCTCATAATTACTCTCTGTCCACAGTTCCGCAATCTGTCTTGTCCTATTAGAACAGCCTCTTGTAGTGAAGACGAGGAAACGTAAAGCGACTAGAGAAAAAAGGCACATTTGTTTGCCGACTGTGCATAATAAAAGCTGATATTTTCACTATGTGTTTATCCCTAATGTGTAAATAAGGAAATGTGAAGCAAAAGCGGTTTTCCTACGATACACTCTATCTCGGGATAACCATATTATATGTTTAAGCTTTAGATGGTGCACAATAAGCAGAGAGAAGATTATAGAATTTTAAAACAGATTACCAAAAAAGATAGATACAATGTGTTTGCATGTCATGGTGTAAGAATGTATATGAAGCCGTCCACCAGCAGGAAAGGCTTTACTTTAATACGACTTCATCTTACTCCTGTTCTTCATGTGAATGCATTGTTTATTGTACATTAAACCATAAAAGAGCAAAAACATTAAAGACACTGGACTAGGCTCCACTTGTAGCAGCTGACAGTGGCAAGAAGAGGGTTTTTTGTGCCAACTTTCACAAAGGCTACACAATGATTCTGGATAAAAATGCGTAGATAATTTTAAATGAGTAACAATTATAAACCAGGTTAAAATACGTTGCTTGTGCAGTGCTGCAAAAAGCTATCATTCAACAGTAATCAGATTTGGTGATGTCTATCCCCTCATGACCTAAGACCTTATCCCATCTGCCTGCTTATCTCCACCAGGAGCTCCGCTGTTTGGGTTAACTGGAGCTGCCCATCACTGTAAGCCTGTGGATTAGGGCAGTGAAAAAGTAAGAAACGCTCACCTTTGGTTATCTGTTCTGTGCCCTGCAAAAAAAAAAAAAACACACAAAACACAACGTTAATAAGAGCAGCTCATAAACCCTAAGTCTTTCTCTTCATCTGTCTATATTTACCACAGACGCAAGGATAGGAATAACTATATTTCTATACAAAGTGTTCAACTTGAAATAGCGGGTTAGTAAATATATATTTTCAAGTCACTTTCAAGAGTGGCATTTTCAGATATGAACCGAGTCTGCTCATTCATTTTAATGGGAAATCACGTTGTTACTGCTACTTTGACTAGCACGAGTGATCCTGCTCAATCGAGGGTAAATGAGCAATGTTATTTTGGGATAACACATGCAGAGCAACAATATTCGCGATGCTAATACAGAGGCGCTACCAGGAAACAGCAGAGGGGGCTGAAACAACCACTACACCGACCTTTTGTGTTGTTCGTTTTGTTGATTCTTTTATAGATTCATTGTTTTCTAGCACTTCATCTTCTAAGTTGTTGTGCATAGAGTGGAAATCTTGTCTTTCGTTCAGGTACATAGAAGCTATAAATATAATAGTTTTGTCATGCCCCCTTTTAGTCAGTCGATCGACCCGGAATGTTTCAGTCGGTCGAGCATTTCTTTGGTTGACTACAGCCTTTATGATATTTACTGTCTTGGTGAAGTCAGATGTTACAAACAAAATAATGTAAAAACACATAAATAATAACAAAGGGTTGAGCCAAATCTTGGTCTTACTGCGCTTACTTTTAGATTGTGTTTGTCTGAGTGGTGATATCAAGTGTAAACTGTGCCTGTGCTCACAACACTAATGACTTAGGTCTGGTGTGAATGAAGGTTTTAACCAACATAATGCACTTGTCACTGAAACTATTTGGCAATCAAAGATACTAGTAACAGCAAGAATCTTATTACATTCAATATTGTATATAGCTTTATGTCATGACAATAGGGCACTAGCGAGAGTTAACCCACAGTAGCACTAATTACACACATACTAACCTCAATGGAGCAGCCTTTCCTCACGTCTGCGTCCTCCAGCTAATCCTCCTTTTCGATTCTTTTACCTCACAGCTCTAAAAAAAAAAAAGAAAACTAAATGAAAACAGGAGATTAAAATATTGGAAGAGGACCATCTTATTTAACTACAATATTGTTTTTAATAATTGTGTAACAAGACATGTATGACACACATGTATGATCTTTAACATTGGATGATAAATAAAGATGCAATTCAGCACATGACTTTTTAACAAATAAAAACAATACAGAATCAGAATAAATTACACAAAATAGCCGTTGGATTATAGAAATAAAAAGTGCTTGAATCATGATTCACCTAATGCAGAAGAGATGTACAAATGATAAAAAGCTCCTGAGAGGAAACTGTTTAAACCACACATCTCCAGCATTCCCTGTGGGCCCAAACGTCTCCTCATTTGCCTACAGAGCACATACATGCCTGGGATATTTAAGGTTGTGAAAAGAAGTATTTTAGCAAGCTACAGTAACAAAAATAGTTTACAGACTAGAACAAGCGGAACCTCCATGTCGCTCGTACTGCCAAGCCTTGGCTGCTGTTGGCGACAGTGGTGTGTGCCATTGCCTGGCAACAAGCGCTCCCCGAGGCATGGCGAGCGGCGAGCTGGAGACAGCCTCCAGCGCCACTCAGCTCTTTGGCTTCAGCGGTTTGCATAGAGTCACAACAATGAACATGGAAGATAAACCTGGACAGGCGTCATAAGCTGTGCCACAAACCTGAACGTTCAATTAAACCATCTCCACATAGACGGCTGGGCCACAGGAACCAGCGATGCAATATTTGAGGAAGAGAAAACAATCAAAAACCTATTGATGGGTGCAAGGTTATTTCACCTCCCACATTTTAGTAAGTAGGGGTGGGAACCTAAGGGTATCTCACGATACGACACACGATACAAAGCTTACAATAACGATAATATCACGATAACAATTTTATTACAATATGACGATTATTGATATATTGGAAATATACAATATGCCAATTTATGGCATAAATAAAATAAAAAATACTCTTTATTTCATGATAAATAGAATGGAGATGCGTAATGTAGCCATATATTAAGTATTGATACCAATTCAAAAAAAAAAAATGTTTTTTTTTTTTTCAAAATTGATATCGATACTTGGCAAATGCATATCGATAATCGAATCGCGGGAGAAAGTCACACCCCTATCAGTAAGTAATCTTTATTTATACAGCGCATTTCCACGACCAATGTAACATCATTTGGTGACCTCTCCATTCACTCCAGACACCAAAACACCAAAACACCAAAACATGACCAACTCTGACCATCACCAACCATTCACTCACTTGTTACATTTACACCTATAGTAAATGTTTAAGTAGTAGAAACCAGAGGATGAATCCTATGCAAACATGGGAAGAACATGCAAACTCCACACAGTCTAGCACAGGAATCAAACCCAGGACCTTCTTGCTGTAAAGTAAATAAAAAACAATTTTTTTTCACAAACAAGTTTACAATCAAAGGTACCCAGTTAAGTGCCTTTTGATTACAAATCCACAGTACATTTACAGTGTTACAGTATTATGCTGCATGTCTTATAGAGGATTGTATTGACCCACTGTCAATACAATATTGGATATTGAGCCAGCTGCTGTTCTAAATATAGCAGCTTCTTTCAGAGCGCTCAGTGAGGCTTGTGTCAGGAGGAAGAGGTGCTTCGGTATATGTGGCCCACCACTGGCCCCTGACCCCATTGAGTGACAATGATGACAAGATGTAGTGTAATGTAAACAACACCAAAAAAATATTAATTGGCAGGTTTAAAAATGACTCCTACTGAGTCCTGATCCTGTAGAAAGCATTGCAGATCTTCAGCTATACACAATTCACAATTTGGATCCTATATTATTTTGTTTTGCATTTATTGTTATTATGTTATTATGGCATGCATTTAAAGCGCTAGCATGTGTTAATTGCAACAGTGACTGGGGAAACACTTGTGTGTGGACACTGGGGACGCAGGTCAATAATCTCCTTGCTGTAGTGGAATTACAGGCTGCTGTCAGAACAACAGGATTAAAGCATTCACTGCACACAGGCTGGAAATAACACAACATTGGAGGCAGTGCAGGTGAACCGCTCTCATAAGTAAACTACACAGCGAGCCATAGGGATGTGATGAAGCCTGAAGGAGATGATGCTAGTGTTGGTTTGAGAGAGAGGCAAGAGGTGGTAGACAGCAGTGTCTGGGCATGGTGCCAGGAATGCCACCGCTGCCAGCCAAACAAGAGCGCGGTGAGCCCTGGGAACAGCTACTGCAGCCTCTACCACTACCTGCTGTAACACACTGACACAAACAAAGAGTCGAAGGCTGCAACCATAACTATCCATGCAACCATAACTATCCATGCACAATAATAATGCATGTTTTAACATTATTATGTTATAAAATGTCAGGTGAGCACTGCACTATTGACAATGTCCTTGTGCAAAGAGGATTGCCTTTGCAGTAATGTACTTGAAGCTATTCTCAGTGTGGCCATGTTAATGCTTTCTGACCCTCGCTAACGACAAGGAAAAATAAACTAAATGCTGTGCTCTTGGCATCCACAACCGGACCCGAAATAACTTCCGTGGACGCACTCCAAATGTGCTGCCTTCCGTCCAGCGTTCGTCATCTGCCAGCAACAAGAAACTACAACAGGAACAGACCTCTGGACTGACCACCAGACTGAATGATTTCCTTTACAAATCAATAAATAAATGTATAAACTCATGCTAGCACAACTTGTCATAGTTAATAAATAAGGATATGTATAATGTGAGTTAGAATGGAGGATGAGCTTAAAAACATACAAAAAACCAAACATTTTAAGATAAATATTGCTATCTTTTAATTAGATAAAGTATAGATTTACAACTATTATTTTGACTTTTTAATCTATTGATATATTGATATTTTGTAAAAGTCAAGAGACCCACACAATTGATTTATCAGCAATCCATCTTTATTTCTTTTTATTATTATTTGCTGTATTGAATTCGTATCTAATTGAAATAAAGGTTGACCTAGTATTGGAACGGTGTGTATTTGAACGTATAGTTAGTATAACAGAGGCATAATTCTATTACTACTACAACTTGCACAATGCTGACAGTTCACAATTGAACATTTCCACTGCAGCTTCGCCTCTCATGACACAAAACCAAATCTGGTGGCACCCTGAGTCAGCCTGTGTGACCTACGCTGTATAGTAATCTTAGAATTTAGTGGCCTGTTTTTGTTATCAAGCCCCCCTTTTGGCGCCTCTCTGTGAGCACACAATGCCTCTTTCATGGGCTTGGGTGCTGCTGCTGACTGAGGGCCCCGACCGGCCGCCGGTGACAGAAAAGACCTCCACCACCATCACAATCCTGGCCCCTATTGACTGCCAAGGCCTAATTTAGGAACCCCAACATATTAGTTAAACAAGCTGTCCTGGGGTTGACGTCACCCTTCTCTTGGCATGCATCTCCTGTTGGTGGCTGTCCCAGCAGAAGTGAACCAGTCTCTCTAATAAAAAAATCTATAAAAACCTTAAGACACCTGTTTTGTATCAATCCCCTACATGTTTTAATATTTCCTTCGATTTGAACGTCCTGCCTTCAATCTAATGGTACATACATCAGACAACAACACACACAAAGATGTATTTTTCTGTTGTAATTTTGGCAATAACTTATGTTGCAACGCATTCATAATAGCAAAGGATTTCCCAGTGCATGGGTGGCTGTGTGTATGACAGGATCCAAATAGCTACAGGCAGTGTAGAATTTCTGAATTTTAAGAAGAAAACAAAATATAAGCCCTAAGGTACATTCGAAAAGATGGTTCATTTTTTCCCCACTTTATCCTTAAGTGATTACTAAAAAGTAGTGATATGACTTGATTATTTGCACAATAAAGCAGATCACCACAGCAAATGCTCTAAGCCTTTTTGCCCATGCAACTAAACGACTACGGACATCCAGTGTCCTCCGGTCTATGTGTGCAACACGAATAACTCTGCCTAAAACCAATGTCAACTCAAACAAGCAATAACACGGGACGTCCTTGAATTATGTGACCAGGGGAGCAGCTGCACAGGAAAAGACCAATGCAAAAACATTTCTTTCTCAGCATAATAACATCCACAATTGAGGTTTGTCGGATAAGCAAAGATGAGCTTATATCCCAGTAACGACAAGAACACACACACACAGACAGACACACACAGGGCACTGATGACAGGAGCAGACACATACGGCATTTCACGTCCAGCTGTGAGCTTAAACTTGAGAATGCTGCAAACGCAATACATCCGAGAGTCCATTGCATGTGTCTGTAGTGTGTTGTAAATAAATCCTACCATAAAAAGCGATCAGTGTGTACTCCTCGGCGGTGAAGCCTTTGCAGCCATTTTGTAGTTTCTGACCGGGGCTGAGGCTGGAGCTCGCTGCTGACACTGGGGGGAAGGGAGGAGCTTGGCCTTGTCACGTCACCTTCAATAACAAAACAAACCTCGGTGGGTGCTAAAGGGTGCTACAAGACGACTGCGCCACCGTCACTGCTGTCTGTGTGTCTGTCTGTCTGTCTGCGCGATTTTTCACCAAAACATCTGCGTTCGCCTGCGTGGTGGAGTCGAACAGAAACGTAATGAGCGTAGCAGTGCCTTTTCTGGACAACAGGGGGCGCAAGGTGCAGAGAATAATATGAATATTATAAAAATGGCTGTAATTCTAATAGTTTTAAGTTATTTGTTAATTGGTCCATTTATTACAGAATTTAGGAATAATTGAGTCTATATTTTCAGCATGGTGTGGCCTACAAAACAAAGGCTAGGTTCTCAAACTTTTCACATCAAGTTTGGCCTACAGGAGATGCAATAACTTCATGTATGTCATTTTTTAAATAATGCAGATTGTTTTTGTCCACCTGGTTCTGTATATTTATTTATTTCAATTTGCTTTTATCTCTGCTGTGGGCTGATACTTGTGTTTACACCATGGATCTATAATCATATCGGTTCACACTAGTTGGTTTGGTTCATTTTAACTGGACCAAGTTTGGTTCACTTGGGGAAAAATATCTGTTTTAAAAGATTTAACCTGACTTAAGTGACCAGTGTTAGCTTGTTTTGTAGATTTACATCCACAAAATACAATATTTTGCCCCAAGTGAACCCGAATTTGTTCAGTTAAAGAAAACCACCAAACCAGCAAAGGTGAACTAAGTAACATTCATTTGATTACAATGCAGTGCATGGTATAAATCAGAGGCAAACAAGCCAAACATACTATATAGTGGTTCTGAATAAACAAACAAATAAATATTTGACATTTTCCATCCATCCATTTTCTTCCCCTTAACCCATTTCAGGGTCAGGGGGGTGCAGTCAGAGTTGCCCCCAGTCCACAGAGCACCAGCCCCTCACTGATCCTCCTGCAGGTGGCGAGTCCACAGGAGCTGAGATCGTTCAGCAGGGGCTTCAAGCAGTGGGTTAAGTGTCTTGCCCAAAGACCCAACAACAGCAGTCATCAGTGAGAGTTGTGAAGTTGGTCCAAATTAAATGTTTCTGAAATTAAATGCTTCTAAATTAATAACATTTAGAGTCAGAATCCTTTTATTGCCATGTGAGTAACAAGAAGTCACAAGCTAGGAAAT